CTGGGAGCGGTTTTTGTCGTAGGGAAATGTCACCACCAGCTCCCCTCCCTGAAGGTTGCCACCCAGCACAAAGGGCATCTTCTCCATCCAGGCTATAAGAGCCCTCGTCTCCAAGGCAACCTGCAGGAGGGGACGTGAGAGAATGATGTCATCCGTCCAATCGTCTCCGTGCTGTCACAGCCAGATTACATCCCTCGCACTGGACACACTTTCAAGATGAAGTGGTTGAAGCATTCACAGGTTGTCCACTCCACCCGTTAAAGGCGTCATCTCAACAAACAAATTATTATTTGTTGTTCCATCTTCATCAAAAGACATTGGTTAAAACAATGGCAGAAATTCATTCTTTTAAATTCATGTATTTATTTTACCCGATTTCCCCATAAAATATCTGCTACAATTTCCTTCCCAAAGTCCTGTTCTTCTCACAATGTAGTCCGAATATTTTTTTAAACTTTGGATTATTAAACCAGAAATTACAAAGCACACCATTGGGTTTGCATTTGTCTCTGCATGTTATGTTTAGGAACCCAGTGGTCCTGTGTCAGCTGATGTAATTAACTCAGTGCTGCTGCTGCTGCTGCTGCTTTCACTGAGCAGTAGTTTAGAGGTTCAGTCAAATGGTTGAAGGCACTTTTCACAGCTTTTCCTGGCTCCGAGCTGAATCCCAGCTCTGCAGCTCTGTGGCAGCATCAGCATCAACCCCAGCAGCAGCAGCAGCAGCAGCAGCAGCAGCAGCAGCTATTTCGGCTGTTACTGTGACTCACCCAGGGTTCTCACTAACGTCAACACACTCGTAAGGAGGAGCTTTTAATAGACTGCTGGGGATATTTTTAAACGCAGCGTCTTCGTCACAGCAAGCCGACGCACTAAGTTCTCCTAAAATAGATCGCTGTGTTGATCTGGCTGTGAGGCTGATCTGGTCTGTTTAGCACGGAGATGTTCACAGCTCTGGGATTTGGTTTTTAAATAAAAAGGGAAACATAAATGATCATTATAGACTTGCTCACAGTTCTCAAAGCTGCAGCAAAAGGATGCCAGATTCTGATGATTTTATATAATAGTCAGTTAAACCTTAACACTGTGCCGTACCCACCGAGGCATTCGAAGACTGGTACCACTCTGGGACGGACACGTGGTGGTTGAGCATTTTGCGAGGGATCCATTTCCTGGCCTCTGATTCCCACAGTATGGAGTTGAGGTCTGGGAAGTTATGATGTATGTCTATTCCATCATTGCTCCATCGACCCAGAGACCAGCCACTGAGTTCAGAACCCTGGGAAAGAAAGATCCAGTTGGGAAAATTGCTTTCTGACTATGGGTCAATACTCAGTTAGGAATAGAGAAAAGAATAGGGATGGATAGGTCTGTGATGTCAGCAGTTTTTACGTCACACATGGTTATCCCAGATGTAAAACGATTGTTTCAATTGTATCTATGTGGCTGCACCGACATCTTCAGTGAAACACACTATGATACGGTGTGTTTTTGAATTAGGTCACAGTCACTGGACCTGATTTAAATCACACTCAATAATGTGGATCAGTGACATGTCATAATAAATTCAGTGATACACCAGTACACACTGTTGGTGGCTCATCAGGACCCCTTTAACCAGCAGACCATATTACAGTGTGCACCTGCACCATCTGTGCTGTCATCAGTAAAAGAAAAAACACAAACTGCCAGGCAGATACGGTGCCATCTTCACTGGGGGCCTGGCCATGATATGAGGTCACTAATGACAGACCTACCGCTTCAAAGGCTTTCTCGTACCCATCGGGGTTGACAGATGGCAACAGATGGATTCTAGTCTCATGCACCAGGTGACGAATGCGCTGGTTGCCAGACAAATACTCCAGGCACATGAACTGCATCAGCAGGAGGAGCAGCTCTCGTCCCAGAACCTCATTACCATGGGAGCCCGCTGTGTATCGAAACTCTGGTTCACCTGGTCAACGACGGTCAGGAATATTGTCATTATTTTTCTTTGGATGTCTTTCATGTACGTATGGATTTGGGGTAATTACATCCCAGTCTATGAAGTGCGGACAATACAGGAATTCTCCAAATAATAACAAAAATAACAACAAATGAGCAAGTCTAAGATCTTTCCATCAACATATCTTGGGATCAGAGAAGTGAATATTGGGTTCCGTTAAATGTATTACTTGTTCTTATCTGATTAAATAAGACAAAGCAATGCTTGTTTTTGTCTGAAGAGAGGGAATAAAGAAGATATTTATATAAATGAGTACAGAAAATTGGTGCATCCTCTTCCCCTAAGACTATAAATCCCTCATACAAAATGGACTGTACTAACCCAGAAATGCAGGCGTCCAGGTTCTACTTCTTCTACTTTACTGCCTGTGTTCATAATTTACTAAAGTGCGTCAACTCACCAACTTCGTGCTCTCCAGGGTTGTCAGAAATCTCTATGGCGTACAGCTTCAGGCCGCTCTGACTCTTTCCTATGTTATAGATGCGGGTGATGTTGGGGCACATCTCATTCACCACCTTCATGAGCTGTGGAGCACAAACATCACAGACGTTCAGTTAAAAGTTTGACACTCTCCTTACATATTTTTATACTCACCTCGGGTGTATGCATATTAACATATATATAGGACAGCTACATTCTTTTATAGTCAAAGAAGGTTCAGAAAGTTGTCAAGAACTGTGTGAGTGTTCCAGCTGAGTCAGTCAGTGCCGAGAATAAAAGAAACTTCAGCTAGAAAAGAAAGAACTGCATCGGTTCAAAGCACCGTGTGTGGTTTTCCTGAACTTCAAAATGAAGAGGAAAATGTCAAAACAATATGACATAGGATCTAATTTAAAACTGGGAATATTTTGCATCAAAGAGCACAAATATCACTATGTTACTGTTGATTTTTAATATCACTACTCGTGAGCCGTAGACCAGATTCAATCACTTAGGTGAGTGAGGAGGCGTCACGTGCAGCAGTGGAGGTAATTACAAGGACATGACTGAAACAGCAGCAACTCCCATTTAGTCATCTGTGCACGAGCGTGGAGACAAAAACTCCGTGCGACAGGGAAACACAGTGATATTGTTCGGAGTCACACAGAAACACAGTGATATTGTTCGGAGTCACCGTGTTAATGACACAAATCTTTGTTTACTCAGTCGACCAGCTGCTGCGGAAGATTAGCCAGGCAGCAGTTTGGCCGCGAGCTTTAATTAAGTCTGTGTGCAATCTTAACCAGTCTAACCAAGTGCACAAATAAGACATTTGTTCATTAGATCAGAGATTCTTCCTGGTTCTACATTCTCAAAACACCTTTATTTTCCAGAGCTGCTGACGCTTTTGACTTTGATTTCCTGCTGTTTTAAAACCCCTTAATGCTGCCGGCTCACTGTTGTATGACAGTATAACGTCTGTAGTTAGCAAATGGCAGCATTTCAATACTTTCAGGCGTTCATAGAATCTGCTAGAATGTAAAACCTGCCTCAGGATGCATAAGGGAACAGCACAAAAAAGTGCAAATCGACTTGGATTTTCTTTTGTGATCACTTCTTGGTATCAGAGACTCTAATCTGATTTCCATACAATCTAACAAAGTAGCAGTTGTTATGGCAAAAATAATCCCTTTTTTGCCAAACAAAAATCTGATTGCAGCTGGCAGCAAGGCAACAATAGGTCGATTAACTACTCATTACAGAAAAATCTCTAAAGTATCTTGGGTACAGCATCAGAAGACCACACTGTGTGCTGTAGAATTGGACAACATCATAAAAATCATATTTTATTTATTATTTTGGAGGATCAGTGCTTTTAGATCAGCGTGTTTAGGAGCCAGGATTAGCACAGTCCTGGGGAGAATTCTTCCTTGCTTACCTCACAGGGAACATCCTATATTCGAAAAGCCACAAAGAGCCTTTTCCACTTAAAGGTTCTGGCACAGCACTATTCAAACTTTAGGGAACAAAAGGCAGATATGGTACCTGGTGCCTCAGTGGAGAAAAGAAATGTCAGAGGGGAAAAGGGCCTCAGGAGCTGAGGTGTAAAAATAGCTTCTTTTGGAGGGCCTATTGAGGCTGGGCACCCCGCGTGACACACATTAACCTCAAGGGTATCGCAAAGGGAAAGGAAAAACCTTGTGTTTAATTCACTTGGATAGAGCTGAGGATGTGATGTTGGACTATCACACCAGACCCAGAGTCTGCTATGTTAAAACCTTAAATTTGAGCCTAGAGTCTCACGAATGTGAATTAGAGACTCTCAGTCGTTGGACCTTCACATTGACTCAGTCACGGTGCACACACTGACAAACACAGCTGTCTTCTTTGTTGCTACAAACGGCCTACTGTTCATGACAAGTACATGAATAAGTAATCACACAGCCCAGGAGATGCTGTGTGCATTACCAAGCGGCTGGCAGCGCTCGCTTCACACTTTGTTCTCGCAGAGGACACAATCTGTCTGCTTTTGGCTCATACTTTACTCCAGAAAGGTTTACGGCTGCATTCTCTGCTCTCTGTGCTGAATAGGAAGTGAGAGCTGCAGATCAGATCGCCGTGACTCACCTGCCTCATCTCTTTGTAGCTGTGATGTCTGAAGTCCAAGTCGTCTGATGTTATGACTTCGTTGCGTCTGTGGTAATAGTTGTTGGGATCTGTGTGTGTGTGTGGGGGGAGGGGGGGGTTAAAGGAAGTGAGACCCTTCATAATCAGATCATACCAAACCATTTGTTCTTTTGTTTTAAAATATACGCCTTCAAGAAACAAGTTTGTGTTCTCACTCAATAGTTAATATTAAAATTTGTTGAAAGAAAGCTCTAGAAGGGCACAGTTAAACAAATCTCTCTGTGTCATAGTTATTAAACCCAATCACCTTTAGAAATTATTACATCTTAGAACTTTTTGACCCACACACTTTTTTTTTTTAAAGTAACCGCTGTCTCTATAATGTCTTAGAACTTTTTGACCCACACACATGTTTTTTTAAAGTAACCGCTGTCTCTATACAAACCCGTCACCTGGCAAAGGACAACCAAGGATCTCCACCCTCATACAGATGCTTCCGCTGTTGAACCAAGAGCGAGGGTTGACCCGGATATACCGAGCGACCACTGGTGTCCTGAAGACGTTCCGGACTGGGATCTCTTTTTCCCTGTTGGCGCTGAAGATCTACTGAGCCAAACACAGTCAGCCAAATAAAAAGAAAAGGAAGAAAAAGAACTGTAAAACCCATTTGCCTTTGAACATATAAATAGTTTCTTCTTTTGTTGTGTCTCTGGGGCTGTGAATCCAACAACAGAAAACCAATGGGGCCTCATCAGGAGTCTATCAATTTCATTTTTTAAACACCGGAAAGTTGAACTTTCAGCTCTTAGCATCCACAAACAAACAGTATGTTTTTCCATTTTGCGTCATTAGGTGGAAAAGAATTATCTGAAGATAATTTTCTCCTACAGTGATGACATCGGCAGCCAAGAGAGTCTATTTATATTTAGTTTCACCTAAATATCATTTGACAAGACGTTCAAACACAGTCAGCTATGGTGAAAACCTGATTATCATCAGAAATAAATTAACTTAATCATATCTGTATGTTTATCTGCAATAATTTTTTTTTAATTTCAGCAGTCACCTGCTGCTTTTGTCTTTGTTCATTTATTAGCGCCATGTGTCCAAGAAGGGAAGACACATAAGATGTCAGTGAGCCTGGATCAGGTTCCCATCTGTCAGTGGATCAGTGTAATTCAGCTAAAGTCGCTCTCAGCTCATTAAGTGAAGAATACACACGCTGAGATCATCAGCCTCCACCATAATTTGCTCTGAAGAAGAAATTCATTTTCCAGCACCACTCAGCTAAGACAAGACATGTGACGCTTTTCTTCACATGGAGACAAATATTACCACTTTGACTTTAAAGTCCTGTGATGAGATAAGAGATGTGTCATTACGGTGCAGATGCATTAGTACTGAAATACTCACCAAGTCTTTGGAGCCGTTCTTCAGCATCACCCAGGTGTGGCTGTCATTGCTCACCATCACCTTGTATGAGGTCACCCAGTCACTCCTGTTAACATTCAGAAGAGAAGCACTGGGCTGAGGAAAAGGAAATACAGTCCCTGTCCCAATGAGTCAAAGGCAAATGGAGAGTGGAGTTAAGGAGTCACTCAACAGAAACATTTCATCCATTTATCCATGGCTTTTTTTAACTAGGAAAATTGGACAGAAGGCTGGAAGTTAATGTTAAGAGTTGAAAATAGGGACTTTAATATCTCAAAGTTACAAAACTGGAGGAGGAATTAGAGTTAGTCACAGATGATTTAATGTTTTGACTTGGAGTTTTTGCCTGATTATTAGATTAGAACATTTGAGCGTTTCTGTTCATTGTAACTAAATTATTCTTCAGGTAACTTTCATTTCGGCACTCCAGCTGCTACAAATTTGTTTGCTTTAAATGTTCTTTTGCCATGCCCAGAATATGATCACCAATAATATGCAACATGAACCAGTTCTCTAGGAGACATCCCTTTGTGTGTTCACTACAATCATTCAGGAAAATGCTGTAAAAAGAGTATTTAAAAGTGGAGTGCAAGTGATTGAAGTAAAGTCTGTGTGCAAATTAACCAGTAGGTGTCAGTAGAGACACTCAAATATTTAATTAAGCTATTTAACCCTGCGGAAAATTAAGTGATATTAGCTATGGGTGTTTTTTTTTCTAATAACATGATTTTAAATGACACTTATTACTTATTGATGAACTGTAATATAGACATGAGGAAGAGTTCCAGCAAGTGTTTACTTTCAAAAACGAACTTGAGACCTAAAGTACCAAACACAAAGCCAGATGAACTTTATAGACGGGCGCCAAAAAATATTCATGTTATTAATGGTTATAACAAATACCATGTGTTGTGTTTCATCTTTGTTCTGCACATGTGAGAAACAATCACGTTTCTATTTATATCTGTGGTAAGTTAAAACGTATGAGGTTAACTCTGCACTATTGCTTTTCATCAAAGTCATAACATATGGCCAAACAGTATTGACATTTAAAATCTTATTCCAGAAAAATGTATGTGAAACATTTCTGTACACAGTAGTAAAATCATACATGAACATTTGGAGCTAACATACAGACTAAAGAAGAGAAGTTATTCATCAAAACGTTTTTTTTTTTTTTTTTTTTAAATGCATCCATTACTGACTTAGACTCTGCTGTGCTACAGGGCACTATGTAGGTTGGCAGGGACTCCCATTCTACTGGATAAAGACCTTGGTGCTGAGCTGGTACATCCCGGTTGGAATTCCCACTTCTGCTAATTAAAGCACTCTTATATAAAGAAGCCCCTTTAGCCGGCAACACAGACAGCTACATGCCCTGCAGAGCTAATTGTGGAGAAGTCCTGTCTCAGGAATCACTGTCTTCTACCACACTGGCCTTGCAGGGAAATTACAAACACAGCTGATAAAGTGTCTCCCCGTGCTCTCTGACTAGGCTGCAGTTTCCCGACGTCGGCCTCACCCCTTCCAATTAAGTAGAACAGAGGCCAAAAGTTGTCAAATATGATTTCCGAGAGAAGTCAGAGTGGGACGGTGGTGGAGGAAATGTGAGCGGAGGAGGATGTTGGCGTTCTTTGCAAACAGAAGAGCAGCTTAACTGCAAACAGAATATATCCCATAATCTAATCACAATTACAGGATGGAATTTAAGGGAACGAGTTAGGTTTGTGAGTGACTGACGTAGATTTTTCACAGGAATGGAGAAATTTCTGTTTGTTCTACTTTTGTCACAATAACATACATGTTATAAAACACCTGAACAGAAACCACACTCTGCCACTGTTGTCTTCAAAATCTGCTGTTAGTTGCCCCCATGTTTACCCTTTGAGTGGGAGTCAAAGCTGGAAAATGACTAAGTTCTTTTTTCCCAAGTCTTATTTTCATTATGAAGTGACCTTTTAAGTGAGACCAAAGACTGAGGCTGCACTTCAATCAATAAAGCCTTAATCCCACAGTGAAGCCATCAGAACAGATCAGTGAAAAGGGCAAACACCCACGAGGGTGCAGTGCCACACGCACCCAAGCCTCAGTTGTGTGTGTTGTCAGGTTAAATCATTTTTATCATATTTGATAAAATATTTTTGATTTAAATTTTTCATTTTTCCAACTCTAATAACACACGTCCATGATCCGAACACATATGTCTGGCATGGAAGGAAATACAAACCCATCCCCCGTCCATCCATCGTGCCTCCACGTGAAGCTGTAAAATCCTCATCCTCACTGTGCAACCATCTGCAACTCCCTGTGTATTTCTGCGGGGTTTCCTACTCACGACCAGAGGGAGCTCCTGCCTTGTGTGATGACCCCTGTGAACTTGGTCAGCCTCCTGGCGTCCACTTCGAACCACTGCAGCGGGTCATTTCTGCCTGCACACCAGGCCCCATCGTAGAGGTCATCTTCATAGAGGCCTGCCTGCAGGACAGAGGAGACGGACTTCATTCCAGATGTATCTCTCTGTCTCCCTAACACACACGCTTTTCAGTTTTTGCATGGGACTGCTGTCAGCAAAAGCCTACTGAACACTACTGTTGAACTCTCCACAATTTAAAACATGCTTCACGGATAAAAGATCTGCTGAGATGAATAAATGTGTCTTCAGCCTTGGGAAAGACTCCACATCAATTTAAAATTCCATAACAGGTTCATTTTTTTCAACCGAAAAGCCAGGGAGGCCAGTGAAGGAGAGTTATAGGAGGGAGCAGCGGCCAGCAGGCTGGGACCCAGAGCTGAAACAGTTTCTGTGAGCTTCCTTCGAGATCCTGTTGCATGTTTAACTGAAAAGTCATTATTATGTATTAAATGTTAATCAGACCATAAATCCTGCATCGCTGCATCCTGTGACACCGTTGGCTCGCTGTGAGCCGTGTTAACAATCGCAGACATGCTGTGTGCAGACAGGCCACGTTGTTCATACAGACCTGAGGACCGTGATGGTACATGCTGAACATGTTTTATCACTGCCTCTTTATCATAAGGGGCGGGGCTCTTTGAAGGACGCTTCCCTTATCATGCTCCAGCATAGAGGGCTATAAAAATGTGGACATAAAATAACACAACACACTGCACCTTTACATAAAGTCATTTTAAAAACACATTAGAAGTACTTTATGTTAATCTTCACTGGAGTACTTCTGTCGGTATTTTCAAATGGACTACCTGACACAGTACTTCTTTTTCTTTTGTGAAGTACTGTATGAGTCCAGGGTGTACCAACCTGGTAACTCTGAAAAACGATTTCGATTTAGGTCAGCACTCAGACACAAGAGGCTGATGTGATGAAGAATGGATTGTTTCAAGCCTGAGTTACATTTGAATGTCCCGAGGACGAAACACCACAAACAGCTATTTTTCTACTGGCTCTTAATGAGCAGCTTGAAGAAACATGTTTCACAGTCCATGTGTTCGGTGGTCATGGGCCGCGCTGCCAAAATGAAAAGCGCGTCTAGGTTGATGGATAATGTTTGCAAAAAACACCATCTGTTTTACGTTCTGTTTTCCTGTAAGTTATTTTAGCAGAGCAACCTAATATTGTATCGAGTCCCGTGGTCGGTGCCAAGATTGGGGTGCAGCCATGAACGAGAAAATGACGTGCAAATCCAAGAAGTTCGTCTGACTAATTACTGTTCCCGTCCCATGCCAGGGTGCATTTCAGAACGTCAAAAGGAAGTGAAACCCGTCCAAATATGGTTGAAGTGAGGAATTTAGCAAAAAGAAAACTGCCTATCAGAATCTCTCTCGCATGTCGCCCTCCTGTGACATGCGCATGAACTTGTACGAAAGAGTTCTTGCTATCAGCAGCAAATCCTTTGTTATGTTGCTTTCCCCTCCCTTGAGTGACTTACTGACATGTTTGTGTGTGAGAGTGTGTGTGTACGTGTGTGCATGTGTTTCATTAACAGTGCAGTTGGATTTCGAGCACAGTTGCAGATGATGAGGTTCGCCGCAGACTGTGTCTAGGCTAATACCCTCAAAGCACAGCTCGCACTAACAGGAAATACCTCCTCTCAGATGCCAGTACTTTTTTATTAGGCTTGGGGAAGAGCTTTAGCTTTGACGCTAACACTAATATTTTCTGTGTTGAATTAGAAGAGATCGGAGCGGTGATAGAGCCAGCAGCTGTGGAGGAGAGATCAGAGCGGTGATAGAGCCAGCAGCTGTGGATTAGAGGGGGCGAGGCTCTGTGTGGAAGGTTTTTTTGGACCCAACGCCAAACACCTTCCTGCACCTGACAGCTGTGTGACAGAGAATGTGCAGATTCCTGGATGGATGGGCATGTAAATGATGGAGACTGCAGGGCAAAGCACTTTAAAATACTAATTATAATTCACAGAATTCAATTTGCAGAAACGACTTTCTTAACTCTGATGAGTGCCAGTGTTTCTGCTAGGCTGCCGCCAACCTCTCACATACCTGAATATTGAGTCGACCTCTGTGTGCACCAAGACCGTAGCGTTTGGTACTTGAAGCATGAAGCTGGAAGTCATCAATTTTCAACGTCTCCAGTCCCATCGGAGGGCATTCTGGGTAAAGGGGAAGGAAACACAAACATGAAGTTGTGATTATCATACTAACGGTTTGGCGGCTGCATGAATCTGCTTAGATCTTGACAAAATACTTCAACAGCCAAGAGCAGGTTTATATACTGTACTTTGAGGTTGGCTAAAAAAAATGCAAAGAAAACAAGACAAAAGCTGCAAAACGTGTCTATCAGGTCCAACAGAGCGCACTCCACCTCAGACGACCTCCCGTGGACAACAACAGAGAGCAACAACACATCACAGCCTGCGCTCTGCTCCTGTTTACACATGTCACATCTTAATGTTATAATTCATAAAGAGTTTATAGAGAAGCCAGAATATCAAAAACAGTGACAGAGTGATGGAGTTGTTGCTGTATAACTGCTATGAATTTTCAAAACATGTCAAAGCTGTGTGGAAGATTAATGACTGTACACTATCAGCACTTCCTTTTTATAATTCACACATATATCAGAAGCCTCTAAATCCACCCTGAACACAAGATTAAAATGCTGTAATTACTTCAGCACTGTTGTTATCTTGAGAGAGAGAGAGAGAGAGAGAGAGAGAGAGAATCCTGCAGCAGCTGCAGCCAAAACTCTCTCAGTCTGAGGTTGGAGTGACTGACTGAATTTTGTAGTTGTCAACTTCTCATAAAGTGCATGTTGGGGATTTAGTTCAATTCAATCATGAGACCTGGGACTCTTTGGTGACAGTAACCATGTCAACGGCTGTTGAATCATTCTCTACGTTCTAATGTCTGTCTCACTGGTGCATTTGTAAACTGACACAGTCTAGACTTTTTTTCACCATCTATTTATTTGTTTAATTTAAATTGTGTTAATGGTGTAAAAGCTCTGCTCACTTTTGACATAAACAAATCTACAGCAACTGCAATCAGCCTCATGATTCACAGCCTGGCTTTAAACATCATCAATATGAATAATCATCTCCCTATTAACTCTACGAGCATGCCAATTATGTAGCGACACCCCCTGGTGCCGCAGCGGTGGTTGGACACGTGGCCACACTAGAGACACTCGAGAAAATTAACAAAAATCACGGCCCTCTAAAAAGGAGACTTTCACATCACTTAAGAATGTTATTTCATTTGATGCAGAAGTGAATTCATTTGAAGCCATGCCTGTCTTTAAGTGATTGCAGAAACTTAGATGGTATTGGTTAAAAAAAAGAAGAAGAAAAAAACCTCCTCTCTGTGTGTGTGAGACCGACTCTTGGTTCCCACTACACAGATATGACTCAGTGGCAGCCAAATGAGCAAATTACAAGGTCGACATGTGAAACCTCTGCTGCTTGTTAGCGCTTTGGGTTTTCTTTGCAAATATTCCTGAACTGCTGCAGCTAACCTTTAGAGCAAGTGAATTAAACAGTGTAACGGGGACAAATAAAGAGAAGAAAAAATAAAATTCCCGTAAAGCTCATGTGCTTTTCACAGGATGTGCATCACAAGCTGGCGGAAAGGTACATTTTTGATCCACAGAGGAAGCTGGCTCTGCGCTTTGTAACCGTTCCATTGGTCTAATGTGACTAAGATGCTGCAGATTGTTCATCATTTGAGTTTAAGAGGAGCTGCAGTCTGGGTCCAAAGTCCACACAAGCATAAAGGAATTTATATTTGCTAACTTTAGGAAACAAAGCTCGTGACCAATTTAACTCCTGCTGTAAAAATAAAGTGTAAAAAGTTGATTAGCACGCCAGAGGTGAAAGAACGGCTGGGATCACAGTGTTCTCAGCACATGGTTCTCAGTCTGTGATCCTGCAGGGCCATAATCCTGGTAACAGACACCTACTTTAATAGGACTTATAAGACCACTGGCTTCATGAATGGAGTGATCACAACATATTAGGGACAGCACAGCTCTCCAGGCAGCCAGGAAGGATTAAGGTTAGCAGAACCAAAAAATAGATGAGAGTGTGTTGTATTCCTAAAGTCCTAAATCATCAGCCCCATCTGCATGTAATCCTCAGCAAGCGGACCCTCAGAGAAGGACAACATCTGGATTTAAGAATGATGTGTAATTGAAAAAGACCAAACAGAGAGCGGAGAGCTCATTTGTTGCTATCTGGGCCATTTGTTAAGTTAGTTTTGGGGAGTACGACCAGAATAAAAGCTCTGACAGGACATTTATTGTTGGATTTATTTTTCCTCTGCTGGACTTTTTCTAAATTACTGTAGGTGAAAGATTTACACCTTTACTGTTAACTGTATATTATAATATTAACTTTTTGCCAATATCCGGTATTGTTCCAAACACTAAGTTCCAATATATGCAGCCAGTTGCCTCCAAAACTGAGGTAAATGTCTCAGGACCCTACAAGCAGTTCTAGCATATTTGGCCAAACCCAGACTTGGGTTTTCATTATCTGAGGTAAAATAATCATAATCATGCTAATACGGGGCCGATTGCTTCATCATTCCCTTATGTAAATATTTTTTTAAATATCACCGAAGAGATCTGACTGAAAATGTCCACAGAAGGAGCTCCTGGAGAGAACAACCTTAACTGACGTGAGTAAAATCATTAGTGAATCTCTGTAAATGTAAATCTATTTATATGCCTCCTCATATAAGCAGTGCTTTATTGGTTTTTTTACTCTAAATGGTATCAGACTTCACCTTGTTTTCTCAGATGACCTAAAAGTCATATTTGCGGCCATGAAAAACATTCCCTGACATCGTTCACCAGTTGAAGTCCATTCTTCCAAAACGTCAATCCATTTCTATTTATTTATTTCAAGGTTTCACATTTAACACTGGAAAATAATTTGGATTTGCTCTATACGGTCTATGAACTTGTTTTACACAGCTGCTGCGAGGAGAGAGTTTTCAGCATTTAAAGCGTGATTTTTTGGGAGCCACTAATATGTGCCAGGCGTGTCAGCATGAAGTTGAAGCTGAAGTTTCCTACATGCAAGAATACCCAACGCTCTTTTTTCCCGTTGCTCGAGCAGTAAATTACATATGGCAGCCTCTCTGTCTGTCTCAGTGGGCTCCTCACAATAGTTTCAACATAAACACACACATTCACAGTTGGCCACCGTATCCAGCCTTAACCTCACAGCAGCAATAAATACAGCTCCCTGTTATGCTAGTTATGGCTGACACCGTGCAAATAAGTGTTATACGGACAATATCACCAATTTCCAAACAGTGGAAAGTCTGAGGTCTGGCTACACACCCGTTGGCCCGGGAACACGCATGTAGCCAGACGAGTTTAATCTCTCATCAGACGTGACAGGAAGGCTTATGGGGCATCCTGCCTTTGGGTTAGCAAATATACTCGGGTCCATGGAAACCAAACAAAATGCTTGGATGCAAAGCGGACATCAGTGTGGCTCCGATCCACTCCTGACAGCATCCTCTCAGAATTTCAGACTTTGTTTTTTTTTTTTTTTTTGCTTTTTTGAGAAGTCTTTCCCTTGTTTCAAAATATTTATCATCTCTGAAAGCCTTTCTTAACGCCGTCTCACATTCATTATGACCTGTGCGCAGAGGAACGATGCCTGCACATTGTAGGGAAGATTAATTTTTATGTGATCATGAATTTCTCATAACAAGAGAGAGTCTCTGTGGTTCCTCACTCACCGTCTTTTATTGAGTTGTACTGTCCTCCATCTGTGTTGCCGTCTGGGGTTTTTAAGATGCTCTTTTTGTTCTTCTCTGACTTTTTGTTGTTCACTTAGGGAGGAAGTTGCATTAATACAGGGACAGAAACAAACACTTGACATTTTGTCTCTTTAAAAAGAGAGAATGGGGTTAGTGTGGAGCAGGAAGAGACAGGAGCTTTCTCTGGACATTGTCCCACACATGTGGATGGATTCAGACATAACCAGGAGACTGTGCTCAGACCAGGAATGTGAAAAGATTTTACTCTTGTGCTTCTTAGATGATCTGCTCCACTCACTACCGCACGACTGATGCCTTTTAATTTCCTTTTAGATTCTCAGTCATGATATTGATATTGTTTTTTTAACAAAGTCGAAAAATTAATATTAAATAAGGTGATAACATTGAAACTCAGATCAGTCACATGAGAATACGGAGCGAGGAGTGACATTCCAGGGATGAATGGTGGAAGTGAGTCATGTGCTTCATATTTGATATTCAAGTGTCAGGTCAGGATAGGATAGGCCCCATGTGATAACAATCCATCTCACATCTGAAAGTCCTTATTCTTCTCTTTCTGGGAAAAGGTGAAATCTTCCACAACATGCTCCAAGCTGCACAGCAGATTAATACAGTGATCACTTGCATGAGAAATATTCAAAAATTTACAGTTAGATACTACTATGGATTTAACTGTTTTTTTTGGGGGGGGGTTCTTTTCTTATAGTGCTTCATAAATCATCACTCATACAAAGTTTTAGGCTTGCTTGCTAACAGCATACTCCTACTGTTACTGTCTTCTTTGTAACAAAGAGGGGGATGAAGCAACTTTAGGACTCTTTGACTTCAATTCAATGTAAGCTGCCCTCTGACTGTAACAAGGGTTTGATGGTAGACAGAGCAATGATTGACCCTAAGCTGACCTTTACACAGACCCCGTCTTTAAAGTACCGACTCTTTGCTATTAACACTACCGTAATAATTGCTGAATCTTTGTTTTTATTTCTATCAAGATAAGGTTTAATAAATGATGAATCCTTTCATGATCTTACTGATTTATTTCAGTTTTCTTTTTTTTTCTTTTAATATTTCATTTCATTCATTAAGTATAGGAAATGGCATTTTATTTCATTTAAGATAATTAATTAGATTTTCCACCTTTCTGATCATGTCATCCAGTGATTCATATTTGAATATTTGAATATTGTGAAGCTAGTCGAGTGAACCTCTTTGAAAAAGCGATGGAAATAGCAGAACATTAACTTGGTGACTGGAGACATTATTTTATGTGAAGGCCAGAAATCTCAAGCACTTTTTCAAAATTAGTTATGATTAAGAAAATGATTCTCTTCTTTTAATCAAGACAGTTGAGAGTTGCACTGAATCCAACTGACCTCATTTTTTTACAGGCAAAATTGAATTGATTTTCAAATGTCTACTTTTCCCCTGTGACGCACAGAAACAACAAAAGGTTTTAGTTGTAGTTGGTCTCCTCCACCTGCAGCAGGTATCTCTGTCAAGACATGTGAAGCCAGATGCTTGAAACGTGAGGTCAGTGTCGATACAGCTGCACCAAATAATCACTTCACTAACCAACAGAAGCCTTCACGCCTGTTACTCTCCTCCAATCACCTGTCGGCATTTAAGACATACCTACAAACCTGCTACTGCAGGTGCTGATAGGAGCGCGCACACAGAGAGCCTTGAGCTGTACTTTTCTGCTTCGGCTATAACAGGACAGGACAGCACTGTTGGTTCTCAGCTGTGGGGAAAATGTGGATTTCACATGTGTACGACAGGCCTGGCTGCCAGTGTGCACATGGCTGCACTGATGCAAAACTACACTACCACACGGCTGTGGTACGCACACGTGGAGGAGCGGCGAGGAAGAGGAACACCGGGGTCTAAGAATGCTATTGTTGCTTTTGATGTTTTCATTCATTATGTGTTTTCCTAGTTTGATCTTCACATTATCACCCTGTAATTTACAATCAGAATCACCTTTCAAGTCCCAGATGACACATCAGACGCAATGGTTAAAAGAGAAACTACTTACACTGAGCTTTTGGATCCACAAAGACTGCGCCTTCTTTGAAAATTAAATTTGGCTTTTAACATGAAAGCATTAGCCACAGGAAAATATTGTTATTTTTGTGTGTTGAAAATCATCTTAAAAGCTGCCCTCAAAGCTATGATAATTAGTCATATACTGTCATCTAGTGGCAACAATATCAGGGCGGAGACACTGTTTTCTACTGTCAAAGTAGAAGTAGTGTTAAAAAAAAAGTCGACACAAATGTTTTTAAATTCACAGTTTTTTGATTGCAGTTGAACTAATTAGAGGGTTTTATACTTGTAAACAGTCAATGAAGCAAAAAAAAGCAATACAAAAATAACAGATTATGTCAGTGAGATTGGAATTTTTTCAGAGAGTTTACCTGATTTTGCATCAGCTGTACTCCTGTCCTCCTTTCCTTTGGGGACCGTCCTGGCAGCGCTGCGGCCAGAATGGTCATATCTGTCAGGTAGCGAGGCCACAGGCTTCTCCAGCATTTGCACCTGGTTGTGCTGTTCTCTTGTCAGCAGCTCCTGCATGTAGTAATCCTCATCCTCACCCATCGTGTCAGGGTTGGGGTCAGCAAGCCCCACCAGGAGTCCTAGCAGGGCCAGGGGGGTGAGGAGGATTAGACGCTGCCTCGTCATGACCCGGGGGAATTAACTCCAGCTAAGAGTCCTGATGCCGTCTCCAGAGGAGCCTGCAGCTGCTGGGCTGCGCCCCATCAACTGCTCCCTTTTCCTCTCCCTTCCCACTCCAATACGGGGAGTTGACAAAGTTCTCAGAGCGCTCCAAGTTACTGACGAAAGCAGAGGAGCCAGAGGGTCCATGGAAGCATCAGCCTGGAGAAAATGCAGCGAGGGAGGGTGAAAGAAAAAAACCCAAGAGAGCAGGGAAACAAACTCAGACGCAGTGGATCGGCCGTCACCTGATGTTGGCAGGTGACTTAAAAGAGCGTCCTTTTATCTCTTGCACACTTCAGATCTTAGCCCAGCCGTTGCACTCGTTGCACTGATGATGATGTAAGTCAAATGAGGACATAAATGTCTCTGGGAAACCTGTGTTGACATATGGAGGATCCACTTTCATTTCCATCTCCTCCCCTCCTCTGTCGGCAGCAGCTCTGACCAGAGGAAACGTTCCTCTTCTCTGTAAAAGAATTTACTCAGAAACCTAGAATGGGCTCCAGTTTACAATTCTGGGTACAAGAGCAGAGCTCTGTTCTTTTTAGTTGGTGTGTAACTGTTGGGAAAAGTCACTTGTTGCCTGAAAAGACCGATGATGTCACATATGTCCTTTCACTGAAATAATAATTGCTCCTACATCACCTGAAGCTGTCCTCATTTTAGTCCACACCCGCCCAGTCCCCACACTCATTTACACATTAGGAAACGGGCAGCAATCTGAACCGACTCTCTGAGGATCACCTGGGCGTGTTCCAACGCAGGGATGGAGCTCTGCACCATGTGTCACAGCTAATCATGTCAGTGCTGTCTGCTCCTCATGAAGCTATTTTCTCCTTTACTCCTACACAGATACACAGCCGTGACCCACAGCTGCTGATGGAGCCAAGATCTCACACTCCTGGTATTTTACCATATATTTTTTTAAGTCAATGTAAAGGTAAGGTAAGATAAACCAACATTACAAAACAAACTATTGTCCTCAACAATGTTGATCAGTTTACTGTCGCTCACACTAGTTTTGACAGCTGTGTCAGTCAGTTTGTCAGTCTAAGGCTTGACTGATGGGAGCTGGGGGTCCGCACGGTGGGCGTGATGATGAGATAATGAGTTTTAGCTGGAGCTTCTTTGAGAAACAAAAATGCTAATGGGTGTATCCACTGTCTGTTAGAGCAATGAGTGGATGGACGATGGAGTTCTGGCCCTTCAATTTTCATTGGCCACCCACTGCCTCTGTTATGTTTCTAATAGCTACAGAATTTCATATTTGCTCAAACTGAGGCATCGCAAACTAAACCTACTAACGTAACCACCTCCCTAGAAAATATTTACACCTGGTTCATTGAGAGTGCGAGCCAGAACGGTAGGTAAAAGGTTGGTATAAAACTAAGCCTGTGAACGCAGGGTTAAGCTTTCTGAGGCTGCAGGATATCACAGAGGAACAGGAAGTGGAGTGGGTGGACAGCTCCAAGCTGGAACAGTCCACGCTCAGCTCAGCTGGCACAATCAAACGCCAGTCAGGCAGACACTCGCTGTTCACCTCGCTTCAAATGCAGACTGGACTCATTCAACAGTGCCTGGGAAGCAGGAGAAGAGAAGAAGCCAAGAGTTCTGGAAGACTTTGCCACATGAAATACATCAAGCTGCCACATTGTTGAGTGCATCGTTATAATTAACTTTTCCAGAATAATAAACAGTGGGTGGTATTTAGTAACTGTTTCTCACGGGAATATTAACATGGTTTAGGTTGTTCTTTTTCCTGCTAGTTCTTACAGTACAGAATCACTCATTGGCTGCTGATATGTTAGCCTCACAACCGTGATACAGATCTTTTCTATTATCACATCCTTAAGGCTGGATGCATTCATGTATTCTTTCATCCTGTGTCAACATTTTCCTCCATTTTTAGGTCTTCATTTTAATGGGCATATGTTTAGTTTCCTGCTCTTAATTGACAGGAAGTCCAGTTTGATCTGCTGCAGTGGTCCAGACCAAGTCTTACAGTCAGAAGGTCCAAATAACAGAGGCTTGTGTTTGGGATCATTTTCCAACCGAAGAAATGGCACTGTGTCTTTTTATTTGATGTAGTATATCTTTTATTACTGTGATTCACAACAGTAATGTCATGTGACACAGCATTTCTTTGGTCATGCCTATCACTGTAATAGACCAGACCAAGGTCATCTCAAAAAACCCAAAAGGCCGTGTTTTATGAAAACATTCCATCGACTTTAAACCTGCTGTGTGACAGAGTCAGAATGTCTGTCTCTGAATACCTGCTACAGTCAGATCACACAGCTGCTGATCAGGCCCTGGGGAGGGGGAAGGGTTGGGGGGGGGGCAGCTTGAGGCCAACGTGTCACGACAATAGCTGTCGTTCTCAGTGTGGAACGATGAAGGTAGAAGACTACTGGCTCCAATTTTTTCATTAATATATATTAGAAAGATCCTTTCAAAGTCTTGAGCCACGGCATATATGTTACATTTAGAAAAATCCCACGACAAACCAGAGACCAGAAACGCCACAAAAACTTTGTGTACGTTTATTGTATTTGAAGCTACAAACCAATCTTTTAGTATTTCTTTGAGCACAACCTTGACTCTGACAAACGGGCCTGTGGTCAGTATGGGCACAGAACTCTGATATCAGGACAGACAGACAGACTTGTGATTGACAGTAACGAACCCCGTCTGAAATGTATTTATATGTGAACCTATCGATCAAACTGTATCAAGAATTCAGAGCCTTCCCTCATTTGACCTTCAACTCACTTTACTTACCCTTACCGGCTAGTTGATGAATATTATATATTTATATATTATATATTTTTTTTAAAAAGTATTTCTCTTCATACTGACAGGCCAAACAAGTGGGAACATGGTCAACATTATGATGTCAGAGTTTTAATATAAAGTCCATAGTTGGTAAATCCAGAATACTGAAGAGCTATAAATATATATATATTCATTTGTTTGTTTTTTTTAGTCATATGTATTTAAATCATAATAAGTTTATGTTTTTGACAATATTTTTAACAAAGAAAAGAAAAACCACTACAGTCAGGAGTAAATAAAAGTTGACAGTTAGGATGTGGGAGTAATATAAACCTTGACTTTTGAATGCACAGATATTGACAGAGGCCACCTGCCTGCGGCCACTTTTTAACCCTTTATGATAACTGCATTTATTTACCTCTATAAAAGTAGTTCACTAAGAAAACAATATAAATCCAGGTGACCTTACTGCACTCCATCGTTATTGCCAAACACAATAATGCAACTAATATAATCAGTTAAAAAGTTTCATGGGCGTGTCCGAGAAAGGGGAACAGTAGAAACGCCGTCGTCCAACCTTTCTGTTCCTTTCAGCTCTCTGGAGCATTTTTTTTTTAGCTCACATGACCGTCTTTATGTAACGCCCTGACATTTTTGATTCATGCTCACATGCCTGCACTCTGAGTGATCTCTTCAGGACCTGCTTAGGTGTTAGGTTTTAATTTTTAGTTTCTCTTGTGATGCCTTTGTTTTGCTGTTGGAGCTGAAAAGTCACAAAGATTAGCAGGTGCGTAGGACTCTTTTACCACAGTTGCATTATTAGAGCCTTTCCTGTGCACAATGGACCAGAGCTTTCAGACTGCAGTTATAGCTCCCCCTGCAGGAGGAAACGCTATAGGTGTTAATCAGCATCTTGAACCTTTTAGTACAGACTATGTTATTCTGATAATAACAACCTACAGAGATGACTCTCCAAACTTACACCAAAGCAAAACCTACCACTAAGGGCAATTATTAAAAATAAAAACAGCATTTAAAAAGCTAAAACTGTCCCCTGCAGCACTGACTCAAACAGAGATAATATCTGTTTTAATGTTGGACTTTTGATCAAGTATCTGCCTGTTTCTGCAGCAACCACTCATGTGGCAAAAAGAGGGGGCTTCTACCTTCATTTTAGTCACTCAACATTTTCTCTGATGTGTGAATTTGTGTTTCAAAGTCACTTGTTTGTATTTGTTCTGCTCCTTTTTGTATCAAATAACCGATGACTCCTGATTCTTGCAGAAGCTACATTTGATTTTTAATAGTTTTCCAATCCTTCAGGATTTATAGTTATCTATTCCGTGTGGAGGTTGTTGGTAACGCCTTTCTTTTCATGACTCTAATGTGATGAAAAGCCTGTGTATCTACAGCATTTATCAGTCTTAGAAGTGGAGCTGCTCAGTTAGAATGGCTTCTCAAGCACATGATGACTTCACCAGTTTGAGAATCGCCGCCTGCGCTTTCCCCACTCAAAGTGTTGCCTTCCTGAGCACCTGTGTAAGGACACAACAGTCATGGGAGAGTTGGAAAAATAGAAAGAAAACATCTGTTATTATTTTAATTCTTTTACTGTTGAAAGTCTGAACCAGACCATTACAGCAAATAATTATGATGCAAACGTCCGTTAAAAGTTCTGAAGATTCCGCCGCTGCTTCAGGAGAGAAAAAAAGGTTCTGGAGTGCACGTTTCTAAAAGCCTGGGAATTACAGACAATACCATCCAGTGACTGAGCCTAGAAAAGTGCATTTAAAAAAAGAACAATTAGTAATCACCAGCTATGGCAGGGACCATTTCTCTGTTGTGTCCAGAAGAGATAAAACTGCACAGCATTGTACATCACAAACAGATGTTTTGGTTTCATTTCTATCACACTGCTGTTCACAAAAATATATTTGAAGGATTCACAGTGCTTCTGTCAATGATTATTTTATTAATATAGTGACAAATCTTACTCAATCAAGACTGCACTTTTTTTTTCTTCTGGGGCTCGTTTTGTTTTCTCACATTCCTCGCGGCCTCCATCATCAGGGAGTATGACTGGGCCTAGCTGGCGCACTATCAGAGCGCTGAGTAGGCATGATGGACTATATAAACTTGATGGCTCAAATCATTCTTGTTATTTAAAGAATATCCTCATTGATCCGTGAGCAACAGAGCCGTGGGTCCTGCTTCGGGTTTTTTGTTTGTTCTTTTTTAATGAGACTTTTTTAACGGGATCTCGACAGGATTACCAGCTACAGACAGATATTGTCATCCTGTTGGTGGTCTGGACAATCTAGACTGTGTTACAGTCAAAGGTCATTAACTTGGGATTAGAATATAAAAACAACACTAACAAACATCCTCTCTTTCTCCTTCTTACTCCCACACAAACTGGGTTTGACACCGGAGACACATGAAACGAAGGAGCAAAGGAGGCAAAGTGGACTTGATGAAAGTAAGACGAAACTGTTGTGGGAAAGGCAACGCTCACCCCGAGGTCCACGCAGTGCCAACACACAATCAGACGCAACCAACTCTCTCCAAAACAAAACCAACATGCTGTAAATCATTTTGATTTGACCTGAACACTGACTGTTTCTAGGTTCAGGGACAGAACTGAAAGTACATGCTAATGAAACCCAGACGGCAACATGAGTGCAACAGCACAGCTGTCAGCAGACATGAAACTAAGAAACGTGATTTTAGATGACCCGTCTAGTGTGTTCACATGGTTGAATGGGCCTTAAACCAGTGTTTGAGCATCATTATTTTTCCGACTCCTATATCCTTTCAGAATAAAACATAATTACATGTTTTATTATTAATATTAAAGACATCCGTTTTAAATGTGCCATCTACCTCTGTTGTATCTTTACATTTTAAGTACAAAATTTACGGAATGATCTCTTTTTAAATTTTAAATATTTTTTTACCTTTTATCTCATTACTGTGTCACTTTTGTCGTCACAATTACTAATTATTTCATCTGCAAAGTTTTATCTGACCCTTGTGCCTCCCCTGCCATCATGATAAAAAAAGAAAAAAGTACATAAAATAAATATCAATATTTTACACTGATCTGTGTTAAAGATACATTTTCAGTATGACTCTACACATTTTTGACATTTTTGACAAATACAGGGCAGAGAGCTGTATCTGACAGTGCGATCCAGTACAAACTGGGTCACATGAGGTGCGCCGGTTTCTGTTTGCCAATATAAACGTTACAGAAATATATGTTATACAGAAATATGTGCGAGAGAATTGTTC